CAGTCGTGGGTCCTGAACTCTGGGCCTGGGTTCTGTCCCTCAGCTCTTCAGCTCAAGGCTAGCGCTCTACCACTTGAGCTACAGCGCCACTTCCAGCTTTTTTTCGTTTTGCTTATGTGGTGCTGAGGAATCGAACCCAGGGCCTCAGGCATGCAAGGCAAGCACTCTACCACTGAGCCACCTTCCCAGCCCCTCTTGCACATCTCTTCTATGAGAATATAATCCCAGGAGGGTAACGTAATAACTTGGATCCAGATTAAATACTAGTCTATTTTCTCATGCACGCTGCCCCATGGATGGTAGCACCATAGTTTCCTTAGCCATGGAAATTACTGGATTTTTTTTGTTTTGTTTTAAACTATTACCAGATTTTTGCTACATCAATACTGAACTAAACATCATTGTCCCTTAAAAACTGTTCAGGGTTCAGTGTTAGAGTGCTTGCCTTGCATGCATGAGGCCCTGGGTTCAAATCCACATAAGCAGAAAAAGCCAGAAGTGGTGCCGTGGCTCAAGTGGTAGAGCGCTAGCTTTGAGCTGACGAGCTGAGGGACAGCTCCCAGACCACATGACACACACACACACACACACACACACACACACACACACACACACACACACACCAACCAAAACATGCAGTTCTAGTAGGATGCTCTTTCTTTCGTTCTGGGTCTTGGAGCATGGAGCTGTGGGACTCTTTAGCCTTGTACTCAGGTGGGTGGCACTGACTTAGGTTCTGAGCCATTCTCCGTCTGTTCACCTGGCCTGCAGGTCACCGAGGAGACGAGCCTCATCCTACAGACCCTGGGCTACACGTGTACGTGTCGCGGAATCATCAACGTGAAAGGCAAGGGCGATCTGAAGACGTACTTCGTAAACACAGAGATGTCCCGGTCCCTTTCCCAGAGCAACGTGGCCTCCTGAGGAACTTCCAGCTTTGGGCTGGAAGAGAGTCCTTTCTGCAAGGGCCTCCCGCGCTCTGACTGCGACCTCTGTCCCTTGTTTCAATGTGTGTGCCGTCTGATCCTCTGGACCTTTGAGGACTCGTTCCCCTGACCCGGTGGCATCCCGGTTGGTGTCTGACATGTGCCTAGATTGTCTGCCACTTGCACTGTGCTTACTCCTAAGCAAAAGGAGAAAAGGAACGCTCAGAGAAGAAAAGCATTCAAAGAACTGGCAAGGAGGAGCGAGGTGAAGCAAACACAAATTCTTAAGGCAATAAAACTGGGGGGGGTGTATATTATCTCCGGGTGCATGTTCTTTTCTGGAAAATATGATAGCTCGCCAAAAGCATCCACTAGTCTGATATCTAAACACACAGTGTTTGTGACTAAGTTGGTTCTGTCGCCACACATGGAGTCTCTGTTCACCCACCACCCTCATGTCTCCTGCCAGTGCTCACCCAGGGGCCCCCGCCGGCCCTGCCGCTCTTGTCACCTGTCTGGGCTGCGCCTCCTGACGGCGGCCGCTCAGCTGTCCACCCCCAGAAGTCATCCTCACAGCCTAGAACCCGTTTTCTACCAAACTCGTCTCATGGTCTGACGCCATTTGTCTTTTGTAAGGTTAATTCATTAAAAGTTTTATGTACTTTGGTCTATAGTGCCTGTGGCTTTGATTTTCCTTCCTGCTGTCTCCCATGCTCTGCTCTGGCCTTCTCCCCACTGGCAGCAGTGATTTCTAAGGTTGAGATTGTCCTGAGTGATTCAAATTGGCACCGATTTGTGCTGCGGATAATTAGGACCCTGCTCCCTGGAAGGAGATGTGTGCGTGTGTGCGATGTTCAGTGCGTCTCCTGGGCTGCTTTTAATTTTGCCATCTCTTGAGAATATTTTCAGGGAAAAAATAGTTTAACAGTAAAACTTCTGTACCTGCTACAGAACTCCTTCTGTCCACTCAGCCCTTGTGGACAGGGATGCTTTGTGTAAGCGCACAGGCCCAAAACCCAGGAGGACCATTTGGAGCCTGCTATTTAAGTCTGGCAGCTCAACAATTTGAGCTAACAGAGAAGCGGCTGCCCGCTGTGCTGAGAACCGAACACATGCACAGCCCATGGAGATGCGCTCGTCATGATAGAAGACCCGGGAGTTTCTCTCATACATTTTCAAAAGTTTTGAGGTTTTCTTCTTCCCCCTCCCCTTCTCTTTCCCTCCTTCCCCCTTCCTTCTTCCTTCTCTTCCTTCCTTCCATTCTTCATTCCTTCTTCTTTCTTTCCTTCCCTTCCTCCCTTTCTCCCCCTCTTTCCTTCCTTCCTCCTCCTTTCTTTTTCCTTCTTCCTTCCTTCTCTTTCTTCCTTTTCTTTTTCTTTCTCTTCCTTCCTTCCTTCTCTTTTTTCTTCCTTCCTTCCTTCTTTCCTCCTTTTCTTTCGCTCTTCCTTCCTTCTCTTTCTCTCCTCCTTCTCTTTCTTCCTTCTCTTTCTTCCTTCTCTTTTTTCCTTCTCTTTCTTTCTTTCTTTCCTTCTTTCTCTTTCTTTCTTTGGTAGGGTTTGAACTCAGGGCCTGGGCACTGTCCCTGAGCTGTTTCATTCAAGGCTGGGACTGGAGCACTGGAACCACACCTCCACTTTCAACTTTCTATTGGTTAATTGGAAATGATATTTTTGTAGACTTTCCTGCCCAGGCTGGCTTTGAACCATGATCCTCAGATCTCAGCCTCCTGAGTAGCTGGGATTATAAGCATGAGCCACCAGCATCTGGCTTTTCCTTTTAATGTAAAGATATGATGCTTTGCCAAACGGTGAACATAGAGCAATTATGCATATCACATGGTTACAGGAAAACCTCAAATAACCTCAGGGCCGGCATCTGACCCAGGCCGAGGGCCCAGATGAGCTTTCAAAAAGTTCATTAATGGAAAGTCAGACCTAAAGCTTAAGTCTGGAGTTTGACCCCGGTTCGGATTTTTACTAGCTGTGAGACTTGGAACCATCTCTAATCCCTCTTAGGAGCATTTTCCTCCTTGAGAGCTCATGGTATCGGGTTGTGATTAACTGAGTTGATGGCTGTAGAGAGCTGGGCAGGGTCCTGCCTTGCGCTGGCCAGGGTGTTCTAGCACACACAGCTCGGGGCCGGAACAGTCCTTTATTACCAAAGTGGGGATATGGCAGGACTTTTTCAATTTTCTGCCTCAGTCAGGAAAATTGTGATCCTGTAATCACAACTCCAGAAAGGTGATTGAAGCAAAATTGCTAAAAGGACATTTCTCTTCCCTCCAACTGAAACCTGGGCTGGGAGGCCCTCAGACTCACTCACAGATGAGCAGCAGAAGCTTCGGGTGGCTCCTACATCCTCTGGCCTCACATCCTAAATGCCAGGTCACGTTAGGTCACCGGCCTCTGCAGACCACAGCTGGTGTTCCACCGTGTTCTCTCAAATTCTGTCCCCGTAGAGGCGATAAACATGGATCTGTGGTGAAAAGAACCCTAAAGGAGCTCTCCACCACCGTTCTGACCAATCCATAGAATTGGAGATGATTAACTTCATTGTCAGCATCCACCTGGCAAAGCTCTGGGCACGCAATCGCTCACTCTCCAGGTGAGAGCCCAGCCAGCAGCGTTGCCATCGCCTGGAAGCTTGTTCCAACGATGTCCTGGGGCCCAAACGTGGACCACAGACACAGGAAGCCTCCCCTCACCCCTGCACCCTCTCGTTGGAGGGAACAGACTCACAGGTGATTCTGATTCCCTGCCCAGTGTGAAATCCCTTGCATTTTACAAATGCAAACACATGTGCAGAGAGGAACAGGCCGATGTGCCAAGCGGTGGTTCATGGGACAAGGCAAAGCTGGGATAGAACACTGCCTGCCTCCTGATACCAGAACGGGTCACTCCTGATGAAAGCTCGTTGATCTCTGAGCTACGAACAGCATCCCCCTGAGCAGAATGGCAGATCAGAGGACTTGTTAGGCAGCTCCATGTGTGTTCTGTCCCCCGGGCATCAGGGTGAAAAGCCTTCCTCAAAGCTCTCCTTCACCTCTAACCTTACAGGAAGATCTCTCGTCAAAAACGCTCGTGTCCAGCCCCTGAGACCAGCGCTTTAATAGATCGCTTCTCAAGGGCTGGGTTTGGTCAATTGTTCATGTTTCTCTTTCTCAACATTTGGTTTCCTAACACAGCAATCAACCTGCTCTCCTTGGTCTACGTACAACTGAGCAGCAGGAAACATCATTGAGCAATGGTTGAAGTTTTGCAAAAGAAACTCGATTAATATAAGAACGGCTTCTCTTTGATTATTTTAATGGGTAATCCTTTATGAGCTTTAAACGGTAAATACCAGGATATCAACAGCAATTGATTGAATTTTCCCTTGAGACCTTTTGAAATCTTGATCTACCCCATCCTTGCTCTAGAAAAATAAGCAGATGGCTAACGTTGTGGTCTGGCCTAAAGTAACTTTAGTTTGACAGTTTACTGCAGTCAGGATATGCTCTTGGAAAACAGGGCTGCATAAATACATTCGTTTATACAGACTTCCTACATCGCCTATGAGTATAGCTATATAATGCACCTAAAAGCACCTCAAATAAACGACTGCTGTTTTAAGGGAGGAAAGCACCTACACTGAAAACAAACATTTTAAAAATAAATATTTAGGAATCACTCAGCCTTGAAATTGCCAGCAATTCAGTACCATCTGTCTTTAGAGAATGCTCCTAGAAGATCCCAAACAATGAAAGGAGGATGCGGATGCTGGCATGGAAGTTAATTAGATCACCTGCCTGTCAAGAGGGAGCCTGCGGGGAGTTCCACCAGGGCCAGGAGGAGAGGGAGAGATGGTTTCTCCTTGGGGTTCCTGTATTTACAATTGCTGGCATTCTAGGACTTGAGTGCGTTTCAAATTACTTCTCAAAGTTAACATTTCCACCTTAGGTTAAAACTGCTACTGGGAATAAAAGAATGTATTGAAAACAACAGTCGGGGCTGGGGGGGGATGGGGAGTGGGGGGAGGGGAGTGTGTGTGTGTGTGGAGGGGTTCTTAGCACCCAGGAGGCCTGGGGTTCAATCCCCAGACCACCAGTTGGAGGAAGGTGATCAGATTGATGGCCTTTCCTTGGGGCTGGGTGGTATACAGACCTTGTTGGTCGCCTGGCCTCTGCTAAGCTCACTGCGTCACACAAAAATGTGGTCTAGGTTTGGAAATTAAGATGAGAAAAATCTAGGCTCAAAAAATAACAATTGAATGACTGATCACAGAACAAGAAAACGCAGGAGTTGAGAATTTTCCCTGCGTCCGAGGAACACCCAAGCCGGGGTTCTCTCCGGGCCTGGGGCTGTTTCTCCTTTGAGGAGCAGCAGTGAAAGCCCGTCCTTACTGGGTCGTTCCTTCTCAGTCCTGTCAAAGCCACTGGTTGTCAGCTCAGATGAGGGGCTGTCCATTCTACGCCTTGGTCGGGCTGTGTACACCGGGAGCACAGGCCAGGCCGGGCCGTGACCGCCTTCCCCTGAAGCCCTGCGGAGCCAAGAGGCAGAGGACAAACCGCGCAGCCGCAGCAGAGGGGAGCCAGGTGCCTTTAATTCAGGCGCTCACAATGAGCCCCTCTCCAGGGTCATTTAATCTGAATTGGGGGCACATTCAAAAGTCCTCACACTCCCCATGTCCCCTATGTGTTAAAGGTGTTTGGTTCTCAACCAACACCAAGGTGAGAAAGGGCCTGGGCCACAGATGTCACCCAAAAGGCAGGCAGGCCAGATGCCTGTCCCTCTCTGGGCCAGCCGCGCCCCCCACAGGCTGCCAAGACCCCTTCAGGCGGGATCCATGTGTCCAAAGCCCGGTTCTTGGATGCTGGGGATGTCGTTCTTCCTGTAGAAGTCGTTCTGCACGTGGTTCACGCGGCCGTGGTCTCGGTTCAGTGGCTCCACCGGATTGTTGATCCGCTTCCCGTAGACAGAGGAGGACCGCACCCCCACTGTCCGCTCCTGTTCCTAGAGAGGAGGAGCATCACGTGGGTCAGTCGCCTGCACTCAGGATGGATGGATGGCCCACGCGTCAGCCTGGTCCCACCCAGGTGGACCTCACCCCAACACCACACCCAAGTCCCCTCTGGTGGTGGCGGCGGCGGCGGCGAAGCTGTGTCCTCTGCTCAGAGCCTCTGGGGACACCTGAGGGCTTGTGCCAGGTGGCAGCTGCCATCTGATGGCCCTTCTCAGTCTAGGTTTGGAGACAATTTCCTTATGTGTTGTTCTGTCCCTGGAGGGTCACTGTCCCTAGGGAAACTGTGACAGCTGGGACTCAGACGATCCACTTTAACTGTCAGAAAGAACTGGACTACTTTTCCTTGTCAAATTCTGCAGCCCCAAACAAAAGGATCCAAACAGGTCATGTACAAAAGACATCAGAGAAGGAAGGGAACTATAAAAGTGTAAAGAAAGTGACATGGAGCAACGTGTCTATTCTCACACACACACATGCATATACACATATGTGGTACACATGTGTGCACACAAGGACACACAAGTAACCATGTATGTAGGCAGACATGTACATGCGTGCATCTACTGTGTGCAGACGCTCATTCCTGCATGTGTGCATATGTGTACACACATCCACAAATGTACCCAAACCATTAATGTGTTAACAATTTATTAGGATTCTATCTTAGCTCACCTCCTCACTAATATGAAGTCCCATGCATTTTGCGTGTTCTCGGTCATCACGGTGTAATTTCTGGTTATAACCTGGGCTGTGCTTATAAGAACAGTCATAGAGAGAAATGATCCCTGTCTGGAAATAAGAAGAGAAAGAGGACCAGGGGTCATTTGGAAGCTGAGCCACTGAAACCTGGGGAGCCCAGTGAAGACAGGATTGCTTAGTTTCTGGGACTATGTGGGAAGTGGCTGAGGAAGGGCAGCTGCGGTGTGCAGCCCAGAGCTGGAGTGAGCGCTGCAAGGCCAGGACAGACAGCGGGTGTTTGACAACCCTCCTCCACTCCCCGGTGACTTCCTGACAGACCCGCTCCTGAGCTCTAGCTGCTAGCACCCACACTTACATAGTAATAATCTAAGATTTGTCCTGTTGAGTTGCTAGGTTGAAATGCCATAGCCTGGGTGGTTTATGCACAACAGAAATGGGTTTCTTCCTCTGGAGGCCGGAAGTTCAGAGTGAAGGTGGTGGATTCTGTGTCTGGTGTGTGCTGGTTTCTCACTTGTGAGTGGTAGTTGTGAGCGTGCACACACTCCATCAGGCCTCTCTTATGAGGGCACCAATCCCATCTGTGCGCTTCCACTCTAAGACCTGATCATTTCCCCAAATCCCACCTCCCGAGACCCAGTGTGGAGGGTTAGTTTTCGGTACATGTGGTGGTAATGGTGCAGGGTGTAGAAGGGGCGGGCCTGGTGGGAGGGCCTCGGGCCATTGGAGTGTGCCAGGGAAGGGATTGTGAGACTCCAATCCTGAGGCTTCTTGCCCCGACATGTACCCCTGCCACTGCTGTCCAGGACACGAAGCAGGGTAGCTAAGGGCGACCCTCACCACTGGGCTGGTGTTCTGCTGTTTCCACTTCCAGCCTCCAAAACTCTGAGCCATCATAAATGGCCTGCATTGGGTATTCTGTCACAGTCATGAAAGATGATTTATATCAACCCTTCCTGGGAGCGAATACAAATGTCAGATACCAATGTGCGTGTGCACATACGAACATGTTCACATGAAGTATAGGACACACGGCTCATACAGGTACACAGGGTGATGACATGGCTCATGTGGTGTGGTAATTGACAGTGGCACTTAATCCCTGTGGATTGGCGTGAGGCCTCCTCCCTCCTCCCTCCCTCCCTCCTCCCTCCCTCCCCCCTCCCTCCCTCCCTCCCTCCCTTCTCCTGCCTCCTTCCTCCCTCCCTCCCTTCTCCCATCCCCTTCCTTCCTCCCTCCCTCCGTGCCTCCTTCTCTCCCTTCCTCCCTTGCTGGCTTTGAAGGAGAACTTGGGCCTTGAATGCAACCTCTCCACCTGTGCTGGAGGAAGACAGCTCCGCTGCTCCTCTTGGCCTTGCGTTTCCTGGGGATGAGCCCCTGGCCAATAAAAATCCATCCAGCACACACAGAGAGAAGCATCAGGTGGCCCACACCAGCCACCAGCCCTGAGGTGGGGGCCTGGCCTGGGGCCCAAGCCGCACATGCTCCAACCTGAAGCGGCCACTTCATCTTCTAGGCTATGCTTCTGTTTTCGACACTTCACTTTGCGCATCCCTTCCCGTTCACTTGTGCGGTGAGAGTTTGTGGAGCATTAGAGCTGGGCTCTGCTTTGATTGCAGAGAAGATAGCAGTGGCAGAAATAAATCTCTGCCCTCCTGTGTGACTGGTAAGGCGTCAAGAGAGAAGCCACAGGGAGCGTGTCGGGGGAGGGAGCCCCACGTCACAGTTCACAGACGCTCGCGGATGGCAGGGGGAGAGCCCTCCATCTTAACCGGGAGGCTGACGTCAGAGCCCTGGTTCCCTTCTCCTCACCTGGAGCGTGGCCCCCCCTGGAGCACAGGGAGCTGGCCCCTGGGAGTCTGCTCTTTCCAGCTCTGGGGGGTTGGTGTGATTCTCTACAGCATCTTCCTGCCCTGCCCTGCATGGAGGGAGGTGGAGATCTTGGGCTTCCTCACCTGCATGCCAGGGGCGTTGGCTCGTCTCCCCCAAAGCTGAGGTGAGGCCTGCAGACCCAAGCCTCCCTGGGAATGCAGCTTCCCCAGCCCGCCAGCATAGTGCAACACCATCTAGGTTTTTTTTTTTCTTTAGTGTAACTTTGAGAGATTTAATCAAAACCTCACAAAGGGCTCGCTTCTGACTCGGCTTTTTCATTTCCCTGGCAGAAATACTGCACAGGGCAGAAGCAGCAGCAGAAGAAAAGTAATTTTAAAGCACCGCTGCACTGAATCTGCTTTGCTGCCGCTGGCACCCTGTTTCCTGGGGGAATTCACTAGGGAGGCCCCCGCCCCGCCCCAAGCTGCTCACATTGTAGCTAGTGGCTTGAGGAGACAAACCCATCTTCATGGGCTGTAAACACCGGAGCAGGCTTGAGTGGGAATTCTGGGATTCTCGGGGTCGGGCTGCATTAGAGGACTGAGAGCCACCAGAGGGAGGCTCAGCCTGCTAAGCTCACTTCCGTCCATCTCCAGCAAGGGGGTGGAGCTCAGGGATGCCGGACACAGCTGCCAGGACTCAACGTCCAGTGAGCACCAGATCTAGTAATCTCTCTCAGGGCATAATAACCCGAGCTATGCTCATGTCAGGCATCCTACATGTCACTTCACAGCTCTTTATTCGATTAACCCTGCATATCTTCTACGTGGATGCCTGTGACCCAGACCAATCTGCACAGCTGACAGACAGGGAGGCTGAGCGCTCACCTCCAAGACCACACCCTTCTGCTGCCATCTGCTGCCTCCCCACAGGCCCAAAGCACCAGGAACAAGTGATTATGAATCCCAAAGCTACAGGAGCATGGACCCAAAGCTCTGAGAGAACCCTGAGTCCAAACCACCATTTTCTCCTTTCAGTTGGATTATCTCAGGTATTTTGTGGCAGCATCAAAAAGCTGACGAGCTCCATGGACCACTGGGAGTGTTTGCATACTCATCAGGTCTTCTGGCTGCTATAACATGCCACAGACTGGGTGGCTTCTACAGAACGGGATTTCCTCACAGTCTGGCGACTGGAAATTCCAGCCTCAAGGCATGGCAGATTCAGTGTTGGGTGAGGGGCTGATTTTCTGGTTGATGGATGGTGACTTGTGTCTCCATATATGAGAAGGGCAAGAGATCCCTCTGCCCTCTTTCTTTGTAACTCCCATTCCTCCTTAGGAATCCTTCATAGAGTACCTCCCAGAGGCCCTGGGCCCTATGCCATCCCGTGACTTGGGGAATGAGAAATGTCTACATTTGTGGTCAGACCAAGCATTTAAAGAGAGCAAACTCTGCAATGTTGCTGAGCTCCAGTACAGCCTGAAATAATCCACGTGGCCGTAGATTGAGTCTTCGGTGACCCTGTGACTCAGTTTACCCTTTTTATTCTAAATGATCCCTAATCGGAAACTTGTTGAATCTTTTAGATGTTAAACACCAATGTGTAAAATCTTCAGGAGGGTATTCCCAGCTGCTCAAAAGGGCTTGGAAATGTCATTTGCTATTCTTACTGCTCTCAAGATTCTTCACCTGTTAGTATTTTTTACACCACTTTTTTTCATGCAATATTAAAGGCTCTAAGTCTTGAATTTCTTTGTTGCTCGCTCCAGTTATAAATGTGCTGAAACTTCCAGAAATCCACTTTGCATTGATTGGTCCTTCCTCCCCAAGGCAGGCAGGGATGCCTTAGAGCAGGCAGGGAACTTCTGTGTAAAGGCCCACCCCACGCTGTAATTAATTTGGGAATAGATATCAGGGATACTCAAAGATACTCAACTCCAGGTGGTAGACAATACCAAATGAATGGCTATGGGGCTGTGTTCTAATAAAACTTTATTGAAACAGGCAGTGGGTCCCATTTGGCCAAGGGGCTTTCCTGTCCTGATCTCCTTCCAAGTGACAGGTCCCTAGTCACTTCACAGATACCTTGTCTCTCTGTCCATGGGTGGTTTTGGTCTCAGGAAATTGAAGCTATATATCAGACAACTAGAGTTAAGAGTTAACTGGGCCCAGCTGGCTCAGCGCTGCTCATTTGTGCTTGACTGTGCCTGGTCCACAGGACTGTGGGATTCTGCTCTGCTTTTTCTGGGATGCCAGGTGCTGAGTCCAGGTAGGCAAATCCTCCAATTCTGTCTGATTCTGAGCATCAATACTTGCAAGCCTATGAGCCCAGAGTCCTTACTGCAGCTTTTAAAAAACATCATAGCTCTTCATGGCACCAAGGTGATATTTAACAGAATCCTTCAGCATGGTATGTTCTGAGTTTTAAACATGCTCTTCAGAATGGTATGTCCTGAATTTTATATTACATCAAAAAGGCAGATAGATTTTTATAATTCTCAGTAAAACAGCCTAGGCTTTAGAACATCGTCTCCTTACTTTGGGGGATCGTGTTTATCCCACGCTGTGCATTAATGCCCTGTTAGTCGTGAACTAGCAGCACTACTTGGAATGCACAGCGTTAGTTACTACGTGATTTTTTTCTCTTTTTAACAGTTCTTTTCAAACATACTACTCACAAGAAGGGAAGGGAGGTGTCTGGTGGATAGGAATCGGGGACCGCAGCCTTAACTCCACCCCACACCAACACAACTTCAAGCCTACAAGTGCCTGCCAGCAGGACCAAGGTTCCCTCTGCAGCCCTTCCCCTACAGTGAACCCCGCCGGGCCTCGACAGGAAGCCCCGCCCCGCGC